CATGTACAAGGTTGATTTATAAAAAGTTGATCAAAATAAATCATTACACAAGCCAATAAACCACTAAAGACTAAAATATAACATCAAATTTTTATTAAAATAAATTGAACAAAAAAAAAAGAACAATAAACTATTGTTACTTACTGTTCAGAATAAGAAGATAAGTCGCATAATAACGACCTCGACAACAACAAGCTTTAAAAATAAAAATAAATAGAATAATTTGAAGAAAGAATTTTCAAAGAATATTTACTGATACAAAGCATTTTAATACATGCTATGATATAAATAAGACCAGCCCAAAATCCTATCCATATTGTACCATGAGCAAGATCAATATAATCAGAACCTAATTCTAAACCAATAATAGCAGCAGTTAATAACAATTGAGCTATTCCTAGAACTGCTGTAACCCATCGAGGAAATCGTCCTTTAAAACCCATAATATTTGCTTTTGCTTGATAATTTCAACACTGTTTTATAAAAATGAAATTATTCTTCCAGATCAATAGACAAACAAGTGAACAAACTAAAGGTATATCAATCAAAAAAAACTGATGCCTCTATATATATAAATGAAACTCTATTGAAGAGAAGAAAAACAAAAAGAGTAAAAGCTCAAGCGAGAAATGTAGCCCACCTTTTTCGCTGAAGAAAAAAAAATGCAATACGTATTTTAAAAAAAAAAAATCTTAAGTCAGGCATAGACTGACGTATATTAAGCGAAACAGAGAGAGAGAGAAAAACATGTAACTAGAGTAAAAAATAAGACTGCAATGTCAAAATCTATGATTTTTTTTTCATTCTTCATTCACTACATGTTTTTTTCTCTACATCGTGAATAAAAATATTGACCGTTGTCAAAGTAAACTTTGGTTTTTTTTCTCATTAAATCTATTGAATCCGTGCATGACTCAAATAATTATGGATTCTGAATTTAAAAAGTTTTCATTGTTTATCTTAGGCAACTTCGTTTTTTTGTTTTCTCTCGCTATCAGCATTTTCATCCTTATATATAACGAGAGAACTTTCACAGAGCTCCTATCTCATATCAATCATTTTTTGCCTATAGGTATGGCGTGGTATTTTAGTGAAATTCGTAAATGCATTTGATTGTCTATTGAAATTTGCCAAACCCATTAAATTTTTAATGTGTCTAATTGCCAGAAGTTTTTGAAGGACGTCAGGTTTTCGGAAAAACCACGTTCTCGGAATTTCTTTTTTGAAACTATTTGAATTCGAAAGTATTCATATACAGGAGCTCGTATAAAAAGTTTCAGCATTTGTATACTTTATATCTCTAAGATACGAACTTCTCAAACTACTTTTGTCTAATTCAGTACACTTCGAAAAGTGCCTATTCTTTAAAAATGGGGATACTTTCAAGACAAGATTCAAAAACAATTTTTCGAAAAAATTAGTGTTATACAGGGTCATATGACAAAAAGAGATATTAAAAATTCAATAACTCTGCAAGATCTCAATAGGACCTCAAATCCTTGTAGGATTTTTCACCAAGATACTATGGAGTATACATAGGCACAAAAACCCAATGAAATGAGAAGTAGATATCTGGGAATATTCCCTCATTGGTAAAAAGAAAAAAAGATTGGAAATGAGTGTATTCTATGATAATTCGTTGAGCAGTTTCTACATTCATTACATATATTGACACCATTTATTTTGTCAATTCAAATGTTTTATAGTTAACAAATTTTTTAACATTTTCTAACTAATCAACATTCCAATAAAAATATCCTTTAAATAGATCATGTGAAATAATAACAAAATTTTGTGTTAGATCATAATGTCCATCATCCATTTCACGATATATAGTATCAAGAAGTGATACATGACTATAAACATCAGTATCACTTTCATCACATGCAAAATTGGTTAGAAAAATCTGTCGAAAATATTTTTCTATATCACCTAATTCTTGTTCACAAATACGAAGATCCTCAGATTCAATGATCTGTGACGAGGAAAATTTTTTTTAAATATTTAATCCATATTTGTTTTAAATATCATTAGAGACTTGTTACAAACATCAATCAAATCTTTATCAATTATTGAATGAAGTTTTTCATCAATAACAAGCGTTTTTTTTTTATGAACTCTTTTTGTAAACATGCACCTATACAGGACTACATTCATCAACTTTTGCGAATATGCTTAACGTTATAACTCGAATCAATACTTTTCATAAATGAATTTTAATAAACATTTTGTGTTTTATTTCAGGTCATCATCTATGTAATTAGTTTATTCAATTGTACAGAAAATATAATTGGCATTCATATGAGGATTTGTTCAAAAAAAAAGTTGTATTGAAATTGAAATTTTCTGATATCTCTGATTTGATTCTTTATTTATCTTTATGTCATTCAAACAAATTTGAAAACAAAAATTTGAAAACAACGAATGATTTGCTTATTCTTGCCATTCATCATTCTTTATACTTTAATATAAATCTCGTTGAGAACAAAAACATCATGAGTGAAGCCTTTTATTTTAAAAACGCATATCTTTAATTAAACTATCGATTGCTCATTGAATTATTAAAAATGATCGACGTCGCTATAGAGAATATTTTTCTAATGACTAGAAGAAAGCAATAAAATGTTCGTATGAATCATATATTGATGAGTTTTTTTTGTATAACTTTTCTGTGTAAACATTATAATGCAATAGACTTTCTTATAACTTTTTATATTTCTCAATTTTCAAACAAACGTATGTCATGTCTTTTATAAAAAAAAATTTCTTATTTTCCAGCAGTAGGATTATTGGTAAATGAATATGTGTTAATAGAAAACTATTAATATTGTCTATAATGAGGTATTTTCATATAGATATGAATATTTGTTATATACTATTTTCATCAACATGTTTAGCTCATTCATTTTTTGGACAAAAATGTCTACTCGAATAGTATAATAAAAATGCAAAAATTCAATAGAATGTATTAGACTAAATAGCTGCAAAGAAAACAATTCTTCTCTTTTCGAATATCTTTTTTTGTCTAATTGTTAGTTTAACTAAATATCAAGATGTACTCAAAATTGAATTATGTCTAAATAAAAATAATGAGAAATCTCTTAAGTAGAATTTCGTATTCGTTTAGATGTTAACAAAATGAAAAGTGTCATTCAACACCATTGAATTACCAGTAAAAGTATTGAAAAAAAAACTGAATGTTAATATCGTTAAATTTGATGTGGTTAGTCTTCTCTTGTTTACCATCCCATCCACACTACTTTCTTTCATTTTTATTGTGTACACTTAACTTTTTGATGCTGAATGTGTCCATGTTTAAGGTGATTTCAATGCCCCAGAAATTTTTATTCTTACGTCTCAAGGCTTCAAATTTACTATATTATTCCTAAGCAATGTTATTCTTAATGTTTGAAAACATGTTTTCTTTTGCATTTGTTTTTTTTTATCCTTAGTTCACAAGTCTTAGTCTTAAATTATACAAAACAAAAACAAATAGTCAAAAGTCAATTATTTTTGTTCTATGATGATCTAGTTGGTGGTTTTGTATGTCCATCAAGAGTAAAGACACCATTTATTTTTGTTAATTGACATATTTCACAATTATCAAATTGTTTAATATTATCTAAATCATCAACATTCCAACGAAAATATCGCATAAGAAATAAACGCATAAATAATCCATGTGAAACAATAACAATATTTTGTGTTGGATCATGATGTCCATCATCCATTTCACGAAATAAACTGTCAAGAAAAAGTGATGCACGATCATAAACATCAGCACCACTTTCACCACATGAAAAACGATAAAAAAATTGTCCAAATTGTTTTTGTTCTTCTAATTCCTGTGGACGTTTTTGTAAATCAGCTATATTACCAAATTCTTGTTCACGTATACGAGGATCTTCACGTTCAGTTAATATTTGTAATGGTGAAAATGCTTTTCGAATATTTATCCATGTTTGTTTTGAACGTCGATAAGGACTCATATAAACATACATTAATTCATTACCAATTATTGAATGAAGTTTTTCACCAGCAGCAAGTGCTTGTTGATAACCTTTTTCTGTTAAATCAACTCGACTATCAGGTATGCGTGAACTTAATGCTATTGAAAAGAAAAGAAATTTATAAAAACAAAAAAAAACTTAATTTCTATACTTAGATCAACATTTGCTTGCGATTCACCATGACGAATTAGAAATATACGTGATGGACGTCGATCACGACGAATCTTTTTCTGATAATTGAATAATAGACAAAGCAAATCATTGATAACACTACGAAGCCATCCAGTATAGAATGAAATGAGAGAAATAAAACCAAAAAGTACCAAACTAATTACTAATGCAATCATTTAATCTCTGCTCAATAAATCATCAAATATTATTCATTATAATGCAAAGTATTGTATACACCTGAAACACTGTTTTTTCTTTTCACAACATAAGATGCATACATTCGATTATGTCTTCATACGGAGAAAGAGAGATAGTCAGAGAATAGAACAAATTATATAAATAGATCTTTGCACTCATAAACCTTTGATCACGTGCCGATTAGTTACGCCGAGATTGCGGTACGAAAGAAAAACTACGTACTTCTTACAAGTAAATACATATGTTCTTTTTTTTTTCTTTATTTCACTGCATTATAGAATTATGCGAAAAATGATGTTGAATATTTATCATATGATGTAGTCAAGAACTCATGTCGTATTATTCCTACTAATTGACCTTTATTTTGATTCTTCGATAATGCCTTGTTTTTAAGTTCAAATTCATGATAATCTATTAAATAAAACTAAAAATTTATATTTTACAGATCAGAATGAAGATCAATTTCATATTGTTGTATTTATTTATATTTAGACACGAGTGTCCTGAGGTCTTCGAGATAAAAAAAAAATCTCAATATTAGGTGTTGACACTTCGCAGTATTTACGATCTTTTTTACATTGTTTCTAGATATCGATAGGTACATATAGGTATGTATGGCGTAAAGAGAATTGTGAAATGGGACATCCGTAAGGGACGATCGAGGAAAATTTCTTGTCAAGGAAATAATATGAAGCAAGCAAAAAAACTGAAATGACATAATTCCATATCAATCGTTTGTTTTACTCTTTGATCAGAAAGTGCTATTAAATCGCAGGCAATCACAGAAAAAATCTCTCTCTATACTAGACAAACACAAAAAGTCGAAAAAAAATGAAGAAAAATGTTTTAGTTTATGGCACTGATCATCACAGTTTTTATTCTTCAGGAAACTCACTAGCTGTCCATGCTTCAAGTAATTGTACTGAACGAGATATTTTCTCTTGCCGCAAAAAAATATATAATGGTCGAAGTTAAATAAATAGAATCAATAAGCGCTCAGTAAACAATAGTAGCGAGGATCATCTTACTGGTCAGACTAGACCAGTTTTGATAAATTCGTACTC